CCGGGACACCATCAAAACAGGACCGGGACACCATCACATGACCGGGACACCATCACAACATGACCGGGACACCATCAAAACATGACCGGGACACCATCAAAACACGACCGGGACACCATCACAACATGACTGGGACACAATCAAAACATGATCGGGACACCATCACAACATGACCGCGTCACAACATGACCGGGACGCCTTTAAAACATGACCGGGACACCATCACAACATGACCGGGACACCATCAAAACATGACCGGGACACCATCAAAACAGGACTGGGACACCATCACAACATGACTGGGTCACAATCAAAACATGATCGGGACACCATAAAAACATGACCGGGACACCAGCATCACATGACCCGGACGCCATCAAAACATGACCGGGACACCATCCGCCCACCAGCTCTGACGGTGACCCGACGGCGCCCGTCCGCCTATTAGTTTTGCAAGACCCCATAGCATGGCTATTGGGGAAAAATGTTGAAAAATAGAATGAGATGAAAGACTTCTCATAAATCAAACAAAATAACGATAGAAGCTAATAAATGCAAGTCACATAATGCATCCTGCATTGTCATTTGGCACGGCTTTTAACATAGTATATTGGCAAAAGAAATACCTACTGTCAATCCTAATCACTATATAGTCCTTTTCCAGGCTTGTTCATGCAGGATGAATGACATGTCAATGTGGTCACACTTCAGCTCCCATTCAATATGACTGACAAAAGCAAAAAATTGCTTACAAACTTCACTGGCTTCAAGAACAAGGAAAGCTGAAGGATTCCGAAACCATCGCAAGGCGGACATCCATCAGGAAGTTGTCCTTTCGAGCTGTTGGTGATCATGCTATCTTTCCTAGGTGGCTTCACACCCCAGATTCTTGGCATAGCCCCGCACGCACACGAACTTCATCAATGAAGTCTGGCCGAACTCAGAATTGCAGCATTCCAGCTGGCAAAGAAAATCCCTGTGAGTGCCCCAGTTCCTCTACCCCTCCTGGATGCTACTCACGTGAAGAAAGGCCGGCTCTTCAGCGCCGACATTGATATCAGCGCCTGCTGCATGAGGCAAATGGACACTAAATGCAGCATGTTTACAAACATGTACCCCTCAAGATAGGAATAATACTGAGAATACCTACTTTATCTTCTGCGCAGGACATCTTCCTTCAAGTGCCCATATGGTCTACCCTCTCATCCTCACTTTGGCCGGCGGACCGATCTGCAAGGACTGACCAATTACAGTGCTGGCATTCTTTTGAATGGTTTGTTCTCTTCGCGCATACCTCAGCTAATCAATTTCTGTGTGCAAAGGGACTCATTTTTTTGCATCAGCAATCATCCGCAAATGTCTCGTTCGTGGCACCGAGCTGGTATATAGTTCTCCCCACCTGCTTGACAAACAGCAGTGACTGTACCATTCACCTCCTCATTGATTTTGAACTCCTGGAGTTTCTTCGTTCCCACTTCCTGCCATCGCATGGTGTTCAACCCACCGCTGTTACGCTCTCCAACGGTGCGCTCCCTCAACGGATAAATGAAACGAAAGAAAAAGCACTTGTCTGACAGTGATAAAGTGTGTATATATATAGTTTGTTTATATATATATACATATATATATATATATATTATGTATGTATATATATATTATGTGTATATATATATATAGTAACCAACTTGAGTAGCAATCGAATGCGACCTGATTCTATGATTCTCGACAGTTGTGTTTATGCTCATTGGGTAGATGGTCCATACAACCAATCACAATTGCTCCTTCAGGCTTAACCACAGCAAGTCCTCTTCATGCCCTGAGCTGGAAATGATGATCAACGATCGAATGCTGTGAATATGGGGAAAGTCAGTCCACCGTTTGCAGCAGCTGCCTTATGAGATGGGACTTGTGGTGCAAGAACATTCCCCCGGGGTACCGGCCCACGATTTGGTTGAATTCGTTCACTTGCACACGGCGAGAAGCGAATGTTATCTATGAAAAAGGAATGCCGAAAGCAGGTGGTTGTTTCTTGAAAATGCAACCCTTCGGCAAACGACGCGGAACTTTTGAGGCTGTTTGTAGTTTTATAATGTTGTGAAACCGAAGACTATCTTATGAAATCGATGACACTGAGACCAAGTGCAAAGACTGATAAACAAGCAAGCAAAAATCAAATGAAAAGGGAAAGAAAATAGAAAGCCCGTCTTGCAGCGTTGAATGCCCCCCCCCACAATTTCATGTGAAGATGAATTCAGCCATGTCAATGTCAACTCCCAACAAAGCTTCATGACCCCTGTTACTCAAGACCGCACGGATTTCTGTAGTCTCTCTTCTGTCTCTCGGTCTCCGGGCGGAGCACCCGCGCAGAAACCTGGTCCTTCTCAGTGAAGAGCTCTGCCGGATGGTCCACATAGCTATCACTGAGCTCTGCGATGTGCCTCAGATCTGCCATGCTGCCATGCTGCCATGCCTCGAACCAATTGCGGCCCCTGGAGTAGAAGTGGAATGGCTGGATCCCCTTAGAATTCGAGCCGCACCTCTATATAGGTCATCATCAAACACCTTCATGAAGCACCTGGATGCTCACTCATGGTCCACTCCTCCGCTCTATGTCGCTCTGTTGCCACTAAAACACGCGAAGCCATCCAGTCCATCTTTCGTGCGAATCACGATGCCATTATCCAACACCGCTTTCACCTCGAAGCCAAGTCGACGAGGAAGGAACTTGAATTGGCGGAGAGGAGGCTAAGGTGGTCTGAAAGTCGACTGCTCAAGCTGCAGTACATGACACATGGAAAGGAATTGTTCCACCTAGGTCTCTATACATACTGAGATACTGCTCAAACCTTCGAGCCAACAAATCCAAAACCAAGCTGGCCATCCTGGAGTCCTCACACCACTCTCGGCACCCACACATAGCCCGGAAGAACCTCGTAAGACTCACTCCATCCCAGAGCTCCCAACGTGTGGCAAGGCCAAGCAACGCAAAAAAGATCCCAAAATTGATGTCTCCAATGTCATGTCTCCAAATAAAAAGCACCCGCACAAACACACTGAAAACAAAAAACGGAGATCAAAGCCCATGCGTCGCAGGTTGCAGACCCCATTTTTGAGGCAAGCTCGGGTGGCCCAGCTCAGAAAACACTCGTGTATTGGTGGGATGGTACTGTGAAGTCTTTCAGGGATGGAGGCGTAGCATCGCCTCTTTCAGCTGCTCCTGACCAACTCCGAAAGCTTCGTCCCGCGCGCGCCTGTCCCTTCTCATGAAAGGGCCCCTTCGCTGGCGCCTCGGTATGAGGGAACACCCATGGGTGCGCCGCGTTTACCACAGAAATGGGGCTTCTCCAAAAGTGTTGCTTGCAGGTTTAAGCCTTTACTGTAGGATGCTTGAGGGTCCTTTGCTTATCCGTCAGTCTGCCACCTTGTCGATCCCCTTCAGGGCCGCGAAGGCCGAAAATCTCCTGGGCGGAAGACGGAAGACGGCGGTAACAACCGGACCCACCAAGGAAAACCTACCAAGGCCACCACGTGACCACCCATGAATATAGCGAAGCTCCGAATCTGGAGATTTCGAGATGGGTGAGATGGGACGATTCATTGCGCTTCAAGAGGAATTCATTGGGCCCGAAACATCCATGTAGCAATGCCCTTTGCTCCGAGTAGCGTCCTTGCTCCTAATAGCGATGCCAGGAGCCCCTAGTAGCGTCCTTGCTCCTAGTTGCGCTGGTCCACACGATTCATTACGCTTCAGGAACTCATTGGGCCCCAAGCATCCATGTCGCTAACAAGCTGACGAGAAGCAGGACCTGCCAAGGACGCCATCTGCTTTCCGCATGTTCAAGCGGTAGTGAAAGGCAGTTGTCAAAAAGTTGCAGCCCGCAGCTTGGAATCCATATGTTTACTTCCTTTTCCCCGGGCATTTAGAGGTCTCCAAGTAGATAGTAACAATGTTCAATGTCCAGGATAGCTGTTGGGATTGTCAGAGAAAACAACTGCTTGTGTTGGGTGCCCAAGCCTTCCATTGAAGGAGCAGTCTCCTTCGAGGAAAACGCCTCAAAGACACAACAACAATGCACACAGCTTTGTCTCTCAGATCCATCACCGGCATATTGTCACATAGAGTGAGAGTGCAGATCTCCAGATCTTCAGCTCTTCGGGAGAGGACAGTAGAACACTGTTAACCTTCCAAGACAACGCCCGCTGCTCCGGTCCGCACGGTGGAAGTCGCCTGACGGTGTCATCCACCACCTGTTCATCGGTTCGGATCCGACACCCAGCGACGGTCCAAGGCCTCTGCCGTTCGTCCGTTCGTCTGTTTTGACATGTCCAGGCAACGGTCCAACCGGTCAGAACGAACTGAAGAGGATAACACCGGTCAAAACCTTTGCACTGCTGTTAAGAACTTGGTAAGTACCTTCAAAAAGGAGAAGCGCATTCCACAAAATCTCAAGCATCCTGGGTTTACGAGTAGCTCTGGCTGGGGACTTTGCCAAGCCTGTGACATGGCGAGAAAAACTGCTGAAATGGGAGCTGTGATGCTGCAAATCTCTTGGCTGCGCTTCTAAACCTAGTTGCGTTGTGGCATCTGCCAAGAGCAACTGTCACTGTTCATCCAAAGCCTGCGATTCGCTTTACATCATGGGGCTCCTTGCTTGGTTTGCCTGCCACGGCTTTGCAACAGGTGGGAGGGGTGATCATAGGGCCAGCTCTGGTGTTTTCCGGCCCATATCCCAACAGTTTGAGGCTCAAGCTGCGGGCATCCTGAGGCTGGCTTGCACATGCATGGGTCTCAAGGCTTGCAACATCACGTTCTCAAACAGATTGCAGGCCTCTGTCACATTCTAGAAACGACTTCGTTGAAGGGTGGCTTGTGAGGGTTCTCCTGTGTCATCTGTGTCCTTCAAACCCAAAGCGTAGGTGGAAGGAGGTGATTCAGCAACTCCACTCTGTTCCCTAGTGCCTCGGGCCTCTACTTTTGAATTCGTCAACCAATCAAATCCCACCCGTCAAAAACTGTCTCTTTTTGTTCAATCCAAACATTGACCACCAACAAGTCGAGTCAAAGCCTAGATTGTTGTTCATGACCCGGAGCAGCCTGGAGCTCCCTTTTTCGTCACTCTTTTGGAGAACAATTTTCTCTCCCTGATTCCCCTTGAGGGATCAGCTGAACCTTTCGAACATGAGCTATGCTGACACAGGGATCCACAGATCGGTTGGTTGACCCGGCAAGTCTGAGGACCAACACACAACAAATAGGAACCACCACAAGAGCTAAACAGAGGCGGCTGCTTGAGAACAGTCCAACGTGAATCCCCATCAGTTTGGAGAATGCGACGTGTGAAACCGCTTTATATCAGCTTCACCAAGCACAGTGTGTGAAACGCTACCAGGCTGGGCGTAGTCTTTGGCCAAAGCCTGATGCAAATTGCGCCGAGCTTCAAAAAGAAATGTGTTGATTTGTTCTGAAAGACTCTTCAGTACAGTCAAGAATAGCAGCTATTCTTGGCATATGATTACGTGTATATATATATATACAAGTGAATCACTTAATTAGTTTCTACTGTAACACACTGTCTGACAATGACATCTTGTGACTTTGTTGTGTCATGGGTCTCAGGCGGCAGCCAGTAGACACTGGTAGACCCTCAGGGAAATCAGGCAGAATTGCCCCAAGAGGTGTGAAGGAAAGACGCTTGCAACATTGTGGTTTGGATTTGCTGAGAGCTCAAACTTTGGAAGCTTTAATTAAGTCATCACTCCAATGGCTTGACACAGTCATCGGTGGTTGCATGGGCAAGTAGGGTTCAATTGTCACTCACAGCAAAAAAGAAGAACAGCGTCAGTCGGAGGCACTGTGAGACTCAACTGAAGTGCTGCTGCGGACTCTTGGATCATGAGCACTAGGTCTAGGTGAAAAAGGATCCAAGCTGGCTCTGGTGGAAGAAGCAGCCGCGGGACTCTGCACACTCAGAACCACTGCTGTCCACTTGGGAGCCTCTTTATCCTTTGTGCATCCTGCAAGGAGCCTCCACGGCCGAATCTATTTGGCTGCACGTACCTCAACTGACAAACCCAGATCTTGTTCACCACAATGTTGCGCTTGGAGGCAAAGCCCCGTAAGCCCCGTGCTGCAAAAAAGCACTCAACCAACTTGATCTCCCCTCCCCTGCCCCGTAAAGACCGATCCGCCCACCTGGATGCTTTGAGCTCAACCAAATCCTGAGACGAACAAAACGAACTCTGGAGGATGAGATCTTCAAAACCCCTCACCTGAAAAGGCAGGAGACGAAAGCCAGGGCAAGCAACCCACCGATTCGTCCAACTAGCCATCCAATCGACCTATCTACTCTACACACATCTATCCACGTCTACTTATCATCTTTTTACATCTAGCCACATCTACTTAACAATCTCTCTATCTCTCTATGTCTCTATCTCTTCATCAAATCTCTCCCTCTGTCTCGCTATCTCTCTTACACTCTCTCTCCCCTTCTATCCATCCATCCCTCCATCCGTCCGTCCGTCCGTCCCTCCGTCCCTCCATCCATCCCTCCGTCCAGCTGTCCAGCCATCCAGCCATCCAGTCATCCACCCATCCAGCCACCCACCCAAGTATAGTCAAAATGCAAATGATGCAAGGCCATCAAATTACGCATTATCGACATCACAAAGAACCCGCAATCATGTGGCTTTCGTGCTGGTCCTGAAACAACAATATTGCAGTCATCCTCACCTGTGCCTGTCTTGACCCAACTGAGTTTCTTCAATTGCCCCTATCTCATACTGAAAAATTGTGATTGGATGTCTCATCCGCTTGAGGCCGGCACCCGCAGACTGCAGCAAGGGCGCTGAACTGAGCATGGGCACGGTTGGGGAGCGGGATGGTCATCCCTGGAAGATGGTGAAAACCAATCGCCATGACCCTCCAAGTGGCCTAGGGAGCGAATGGACCAAACCCCTGACTCCGAGGCCCGCTTTGGACCAGTCCATCTCCGGTGACCCAGGAGGTGACGAACATTCGAGGAAGCCTTTGGTGACGAATGACAAACCACCATGCAGGATTTGCAAAAGTCAAAACTCAATCGCCGCCCTCCATCGTTCCACCTGGACAATGGCGTTCGTCTCAGCGTGGGAACCTCCTTCAGGGTCCTGGGTTCAGGTGCAACCTATGCAAACTGTTGCTGCCTAAGCAGGGAAATTCTGAAGTTCACGAACATGTACTATCATTCAATGTCATTACCTACAACTTGGGTTGATCTAGGAACTCGGAGGATTCGCAAAAAATCTGTGAGAAGTTGGTCCTCCAATCCTCCTCGATTCACACCAACAATACGAATCCGCGCCCGTTCCTGAAGAGCCTTGGGAAGTTTGGAGGTGGTCGCCCTTCGTCTGTTGCCAAACATTCCACACCTGCTGCTCCCCACGCAGAAAGCACCTTTCTTGCGCGTGAGCACTCCCCACCCAAGGCAAAATGCCACCCACAGGCTAAGCTGCAATGGTGCAAAGTCGAGTCCTACCAAAAAAACTTCACTGACAAGCCAGTCTTGCTTGGCAAAAAGTGTACTCAGAATATCTCAGAATCACTGTGTGTTCGTACTCACGGTCATCAAATAATCCGTGCATTCACCCAGTGTGCTCATGCTCCATACCATTTCATACCTCAATCACCACAAAGGTACCTGAAAGAGCGCCAACGTCTGGTTTCTTTTAGGCCTTTCTTGAATTCCCTGCTTTAATCAATTCAGAGCCTATGAATAAGTTGAGCTTGCAGTACCGTTCATGGCAGCAAAGTGGGAGGGCATGCATGGCTATCTGCCAACTTGGGCTGGGGAGGAACCTCTAGATGGGCTGGATCGGTCGTGACCGCCTGAGCCCCGGTGATGCTGGAGATGCTCAGGAGCAAAACACAGTCAAACAACAACTTCAGTAAGTGGTAAACTCTGAATGTTTAATGTTAATGTATCGGATGTAAAACTCTAGGTATTGACCAGCAAGGTAGAACTCTGAGCAAATCCAAGAGCAGCCACAGAGCCACATTTGGTGTCCCTGGCGCAGAAACTTTTGGTTTTTTGGCCGACTTCGGCGCTGGAAAACACTGGCTTTACTGAAGGATGTCCCTTGGCCTTGCTTTACGGAAGGATTGAGATCGGTTGATGTTCTGTGCTTTAAAAGGATGGGCACCAGAGCACTTCTCTTCACAAATGTAGGGGTCACAAGTCACAATCCGGATGTTCGGGACGAGAAAAAGGTACGTTGAAGCACGTCAATTATCTTAAAAGCGTCCCGGGTTTGCAGCGATTTGATCAAGGTGCATCAATCGATTCGATTCGAAAGGTACTGTTCCGTTCCGCAAAGCAACCGCAGTCGCAAGAGTTATGATACGAAAACAAGTTCTCACGCCACATTGGGCCAGCCACAGGAGAAGGAACACATCCCGATAAGAGAGGATGCCTTCATTGCACAACGACACTTATGATTTGTCTGCTTTGCACCTTTGCACGCTTCCTACGGAGATTCCATTCAATATGTCCTCCTCCTACTACAGTACCTGTTGCGACTTGGACATTGAACATTCATCATGCCCAGTCATTGAAACTCCAGAACTGGTCACAATGACCAAGTTCCCCACAAACGAAATCAAACGTACCTGGTGGTGATCAATTCAGGAATCTAGGAGTTAGCTCCGGCCTCGGCTAGGGCTGTAGGGCTCACTAGAGTCAGTTCCGGACAAAGTGCTGCTACACCGAGAAACGGTCCTTGGCAAGTGTGAGAGTGCTCAGCTGACATGTGACCGCCCACTCAAACATGAAGGCTCTTGAGGGGTTCTGGTTTGTTTCCACTACCCTGAACAAAATGAGCCGAACCACGCTTATCAAAATGGGTAGAAACTTGCAGATTTTCAGAGAGGTTGAGTTTTGGACTTCATGAGCCATTTTTCTGGTGCTTCCAAGCACACCATCACAAACAGTTTTACAGACTTCTTGCACACACTACAAAGCGAGCAAGGGTGTTTGTTTTGCCGCTGAGCAGAAGTCTGTCTGCGCTCTGCTCCGCAGCCTTTTCGCAGGAGGGCGGGCTGGGAGTGGCCAAAGCCTTTCCAGCCTAAAGCTACGCACTGCCCCCACTGGATCAGGCTCTGGATGTCTCCCCGCTGCAGAGGTCGCCCATCTTCCAACCTGAACAAAGGGAGCTGTTCTTCACCCCCTCAAAAGCGTTCTGGCTTCAGGTTCTGGTACTCGGCCAGGGCAGTGACCACACAGAGTGTGCGATGCCCGCTCTTGAACTGGTTCCGGGCCGTACCCTGGTTGAGTTGGTCCGTCTTGGATCCGTTCAGGTAGGTCACGATCTCCTCTGCGTGGTGTAGGTTGTTGACCTGCTTGTCGTTCTCCAGGCAGCCTTCGACGTCGCAGCCTCTCAACGTCCGGGTACTCCCCCACGATCTCCCCAGTGTCACCAGGTACTCGGAGGCCCTGAGCAGGAAGAAGAAACCCACCATGAGCGCCGCCCAGATGATCAACTGATCGGCTCGGCTGTAGGTCTGACTGGTCGTGAGGCGCTGGCGCACCCAGAGCAACATGCTGGGCAGAACGGGGTACTTTTTCTTGGTGGCGGGTCGCCATCTCTTGTATCCACTTAACGCAGCCCAGATGCGAACGCGGTGGAGCATGGGGTCCTCATAGCCTGCCACCAGGTGGCCCGCCTTTATCGCAAACAGCCGCGGCTTGATGGCGCCCTCGGTTCGTCCCACGACATGGGCCAAGTAGGTGGTGAAGCGAAGCAGGTCATCTTCGTCCTGCTTCTTCTGTTCTTGTGTCTCACCAGTCAGGTAGACACTCTAGCAGCTCATCTTGCGCCACAGGCACCATTGTTTCCAACCCACCTCGTAGCCTGGTCGGGTAAGGCGTCAAGCCAAGCCTGATCCCTGCGAAGCTCCTTGTTCGCATCAACGCAGAGGCGTTCACGACTCTTCCCGATGGCCTTGGGCAGGACAAGGTGGCCTGGTGGGGCTGAATTGCTTCTTCCTTTGGCTCTCTGGGTCTCCTCCGACTTGTCGTCGTTGAGCCATGACTCATATTCCTGGCGTGGGTTCTTGCGGTTCCCATGCCAGGCCCTCATCCATGCATTGACCTGTGCGTCTGTTTGCGCTCGGTCTCGATCGAAGCACATGCCCACCTTGTGAGATCTCTGGGATCGGACCCCGGCTCATACACAATCTCTCCTCCAGGCCACCTATAGATGCCCTGGATGGACTCCTTGATGTAGTGTTCCCACTTCTCCATAGCCTCAACACACATCCAGCCCTGCAGCTCCATGTGGGTAGACTTGTGCGTGGCGTGTACGAAGAACACCAGCAAGATCGGACTCGCCCTTCACGTCGAGGCGCTTGCGAAGGCCCCTACATCGGCGTGCCAAGAGCAATGCGTGGTAGTAGAGGGCGGGGGACACTAAGTTCCACTGGCCCTTCTTGTAGCGGAGATTCGGCTGGTCTGAGGGAGCACAGCCCCGTTCGCACAAGTGGGTGGGCACGATGGGCAAGCCAGTCAGTTCTTGAAGACGTTTGACGGCTGGCTGGTCCCAAATTTTGGGATAGCGACCTGAAGGCATGGAGGACTCAAGAATGAACTCTTTGTCATGCAGGAAGAGCTGCTCGCACATTTGGCAGGTCAGTTGGCAACAATAGTTGCCAGCCCGCTCACTGCTCGTCAGCGGTCCTTGCCCTTCAGGCGCTGAGTAGCTGCGTGTCCCACCATTGAGCAAACAGAAGTCACAAAAACTGGTGCAGGGAGCGCCGAATTCCCACACATTTGCCGTGGTGGGGCCTGGGAGCGCCTGCGTCTCCTCAAGGTAGTAGGCCGCCACCTTTGGATCTTCTAGGTCGAATTCAGGGCGACGGTCTTTCTTCTGCAGTGGATCGCCGGGGTGTTGCATGCGATACCTGCTTCGCGCATCGCTCCAGTCCAAACTCCAGAACTCCTGCGCGCGAACGCCATAGGCGAATTAAGGAGGGGCAGTGCTTCAGCGGTGATTGTGCCCCCAAGAGGATGAGCTCCTGCGTGGTCACGGGATGTTCATTGAAGCTCCATGGAACATTTGGGCTGGCTTTACCCAGCTTGCGCCTCCTTCACAGCAACGTGGGCAGCCAAGGCACTAGCGGGGCTGCCGTGTCCTCATTCGCTAGGAACTCCCTCCAACCTTCGCAGTGCCACTCACGGTTGACATGCCCAGCAAGTGTCAGAGCGGCTGCAATCTTCACTGGATCCTCCTTGCAATCCTCGGGCACCAGAAGCCTGATGTGGCCGCCATGGATCGAGAAGGGAATGATGCGCCCTTCACTGCCTGGGCTGCTGCCAATGAGGTGGTCAACTTGAAATTGGCCACGGCAGTTGAGCCGCCAACACTGCAGGGCGTAGTTCTGCAACTCCTCGAGGTTGAAGGTCTGGTAGAGCCGATAGTCCTTATCGCGGTGCGCTCGAAGACAATCATGCGCATAGCCTCACACTTCGGCTTCTCGGGGTCACCTAGCTCGGCGATGGCATTTGCCGCTTGATCCCGAAGTCCTGCTCGAAGTTCCCTTGCCTTGTCCTTCACCTCGTCAGCCTTTGGGCGCCGGGTGAGATCCCAGTCACCTTCCCACATGAGGATTCCTGCTGCAGGATGTAGCACGAGGCATTGTCTCTCCTCCTCTTCACCCTCGTCCATGCCCAGTGCGCTAGCGAGCTCCAAACCACCGGAAGCTTGTCCTTGTAGTCGAGGTACTGCCAAGTGCGGTGGATGTCCCCAAAGTCGAACTTTCCCTCGCCATAGCCAAGCTCCTTGTTCCAGCTCGGTGCACTGATGACCACGGCTTGATCCGGTCGAAGGTTCCAGTTGCTTCCAACTGCTGCAGAACTCTGCCTTGGCCTGCGAACGGAGCCGCGCCACGCGACCATCAACTTGATTGGGATGGATGAGGGGGCCGTTCTTCAAGCCTCCCCGCCGGATCAACTGCGCGAGCACCGTCCAATGCAACCCCCTGGGTGGTGGTGATTGAACGCGCGTGTGCGCATTCTTTGCCTCGATTGCAACCCATGTGTGTGGCTCACCAGATTGGCTTGCCCTCTTTGGTGCGTGGTGCATGCTTCACAGAGTCGGCTGCCTCCTTTGGACGA